TGGATGCGTGTGTGGCGGGTAACGAGCCACTGACACTTGCCCATATCGTTTGTTCGTCACGTGTGCTCCTGGAAACGCCAGTGAGGGAGCGACCGTGTGCGTTTACCTGCGTGCGTGACCGTCCAATAGGACGATCGAATGCGAACGTGAATCGTGACTGAATTCGTTCGGGGACATTTAAATTTGGCACTGTTCTAGGTTATTTCATTTGTTCCTTTCTTTCAGTAAAAAGAATTTTCCAAAGATTTCATCCGATATCGGAACAGAAGATTATCAAATATGTGAGAATCCGTATTTGTGCTTGAATATAGAAATTAAGCAATCCGAAAAGTTTCAGGTCTAAAGATAAAAAATGTAAAAAGTTGTAGATTTAAAAATAGTGAAACTTAAAAGTTCGAAAGCTGGCAATTTTGAGACGTTCCTCTACTTTCTTCGTATCTGCTATGATTTTTCAGTCAGATACCTTTTAGGATTCTAAACTATGCTTACTCGAAACAGTCCACGCACGCAAACTTGACACACGTTCGCGCCAATAGCTAGTCCCACGCACACGACGTTTGTCCACCGTGTGTCACGTATACACGTACATATGTACGCTATATAATTTATACGTAACAAATATATATACATATATATAGATATAAATAGATATATAAGTGTATATATATGTGTAGAACAGTCAATAACCAGTCACAAAGTACCTTTTAGTCGAGTTTAGCGAGCTTCTCTCTACGCTCGGGCTCAGACTGAAACAGAGATCATCACGCGTCATTTTCACGCGAACATTAAGGGCTTGCACGCGGCTTGCAAGGCTGTTTGCAGCTGCACGCGGCCATCGATCACGGATCCCATGGATCGTTCGAAAAATTCCGCTCGCTACCCTTCCGGATCTCCTTCTCTCGATCCCCTTTTAATCATTTTCTCGCCTCCTTCTCATCTTCAATTTCCTTTCGAACGTTTACTTTCCAATAAAATCGGAGACATTAACTTTTAAAATTTAATTTATTAGCGTACCTGTCACGCGTTCTTTCTTTTCGTTTAAAATTTTTATCGGAATCGGATCTTTCGAACGTAACGTTATGTCGAAACGAAACGACGGAACGACGTGCAACATTTAAACTTCAAGGATTTTCGCGTTGTCCAAGGACCAACGTTCGTTTCTTGGACGTTCTCGCGGTTAGTTCGACTGGCCGAAAAGTCGCGTCGAGCCCCACTAACCTAGTTTCAAGCATCTTGCTCCTAATTTAAAAGTATCGTCAGCGTTCGAACCGGACAATAGAACTCATCAATTGTTATTTTATCGTTAGCACGTCGGCTGCCACGTGAATTTCATATATCTTGCTCCGAAAGCCGAAATCACTTGCATTTTAATAGCCGTCAATGCGTTAAACAAATACCAAACTTCGTTGAAATAATTTGTCTCATGGATGAACGCTCGAATCATTACAACGTATCTTAAATTCCCAAGAGACTTTTTAAAGGATCGACTTAAAAACTTAATTTACGTTTCAAATTCTTCCACTATACATCGAAACAAAGCAGGTGCGTTCAAAAGACGATTGTATCGTAAATGTTGCTCAGCCAGTCATAAAGAAGAAACGAAAAAATGTCGTGCAATCTCGAGTCACAATTACCCTACTTTGTACGAGATTATTCTATCAGTTTCCGTATCGCATCACAGTTGCTCGACTATGTTCGAAGTAGGTTAGCGAGGCCGTCGCAACGCTCGAGGATCGTTTTACTCGGTTTCGATTCTCGGCCGTGTCCTGTGGGGATCGAGATCCAGCAATCCTTGGTGATCGATTTACTTACATGATGCCTGGCTGAGCTCAGTTTGGGTCTATCGCACACTGGACATTCGAGGCGCCAAATCGCCGACGTTGCACTGGAACCCGGCGCACGGTGCAACGAGGATGCACATTATTGCACATTAAAAACGCATAACCGCCCCCAACCACGCCAGAGAGAACATTTCTACCGGGGTGGTGGAGTGTATAGAGTACAGAAAGTCGCGCGAAAAATCGACCATACTTGCTAGATATTATACGACAGGCTAATCGAAATAAATCATATGCCATTCAATGGCTTAAGAGGCTAATCGAGGATAAAGAATTAACTCGACACTCGAATTGCCAATTTTTCTCATACGATAATTTCTTTCCTTTATCTTTATTTGTTTAATGTTAAAAAGTAATTTTGATCTACAGATCTCAGAATAACTTAAGGAATATTTTCAAAAAACGCGAAAAATTCGAAATACATCGTCGTTATACCGTAGCGCCGAGCTCCTTAACCGATGGACAACGCCGACCGCGATCGTTTTATCGACGACCGATGTTGGAAGCAGCGAAAAATGGCAATGGAACCAATGGAATCATTTGTACCATCCTTCTGACGCTCCGCTTCCGAAGGCGTTTGCCCGGTTCTCAAAGGACGCGTGGAACCGTCGCGTTCTCTCGTACGTTGCTCGCCGATTACGTTAGGATCGTTTTTATTAGTGAACTCGTCAGGCAAAACAAGCGGACAGTACTGAAGCGCGTGAGACACAGGAACAAGACGATCTTGTATTTTAAGATCTTGTACTCTCTGTCGTGCGGCAACTTCCGGGAGTAATGAACAAAAAAACAGAGAGCGAAAAATTTGGGAATGTCAGATGTTAGGGGTGAAACGGGTTTTAAGGGTTGAAGGCTCGAGAAGTCGCAATCATCGTCGGACAGTCTCTGTGTTCTTTGTGTCTTTAGCCGTACTTCCGGTCTAGCGAGTATGCATTCCAGTATGCAGAGTACTTACAGTGAACTCCCCATAATCAAATGCTACGTTAAAAGAAAACTCGCTTCCAAGGTATTTTTATTTCATTTCTTTTCTTTTATTTTTTTTTTTTTTTCAAGGGATCGTTAGGAATATTTTCTCGAGAACGAAGAGCAAATCTTGACACATGGACGCCATATCTTGGACTAATATTCGAGATTGAAAGGAAGTGACAGTGACTCGTACACGGACGATTAGTCCTTTAGAAACTGTTTTCGAAATATAGTCAGATTTGTACAATTTTTTCGTATATCTTTGTTTTGGAAAAAGATCTTTTACGTGATGCAGCGTAAGAATGGATAATTCGAGAACAGTTCATACGAGACACGCGTCTCTAGAGAGATCCTTCTCACCACTTTTCCATCATGTAAGCACCAAAGATGAAGTCCACGCGTTAAGATACCACAAATTACCGCTCGCTGTTTATGGAGGACCTCGCGATCCTTGTAATACTACGTTATCAAGTTATCAAGCTGCAGATACGGAGAACAAAAGATAGCAATAATTTTCCGAGAGAATTTTCTTTTCTCATTCTTTGCTCATCCGGATCTTTCCTATCATATTTAATTCAAAACTCGTTTAGTCAATCTGTCTTGTCATTAGAAAATATTTTGACTGAGAAATTTTCAGACGAAACATCAAAGTGGTAAAGAAAGGATCATGATCTCGAGAGATCCTCCATTTGAAGTACCGTGGCAGCCACTTGGACAGGCGGCCTCCGGCAGTCATTTTTACGATTGAAAAGATGATCACGGCCTTAGGTACGAGAAATCTCGATAAATGTGCTCTTTTTATCGGCACATACCCGTCTGCGAGTGCGGAGAATCCATTCCACGGTGACCATCCTCTGGCCTGAGCACCGGCGAGAATGTCGGCGCACTCGATACGGAAACCGTAGGGGGCTTTTCAGTCTTGTCGTTCCTTATGAGCTGATGCACCGGTGGTGGGCCTATGAAACAGAAAAGTAAAGTTAAAAACACTGCTGCAAAGTTACACAACGATTAGCGGTTACGTATGAAATAATTAGAAGTTAAAAGAGAGGAGAGTGGAGTTCAGAGGGAAATATGCTTCGTCCACTCCTCCGCGGTTTCTACTTCGTATTCTTTCGCGTCTGCTCGTACAAACGAGCTGACAAAGGAGGTAAAAGTATCTCTCTTTCACAGAGATATTTCCCTCTTTGAATATTCAACCGAAAATTCTACCGCAACTCAAGTCAAATTGCGTGCTACAAGATTCTTATTAATTATCATTCTAACGAGAGAATTATTCAACGCTAATCTCACACACTACGTTGCTATACTATATCTATACTAAAATCAAATAAAAATTCCTGACAACTAAAACAATCCTAAATTCGTCGATTTGCTTATGCAACAAAGAAGTTCCTTTTATTTTTCAAAAATCTCCCCACCCTGCTTTTCATCCTAAAGCTACGATTCCATCTTCCCGTGCATCGTCCTTAAAGATGAAGACATCCCCAGTCAAGAACAGTTCGACCCTTTAGATAGCAAATGAAACAAAGAAAAGCAATAAGAACAAGAATACACGGTCTTCTTGTTAACGGATTTGCATGCACGTTCGAATGGAGGGCGGTCGTTTCGCGGCAATAAAATTAGCTTCGTTCACCGGGGCACCACGATATTTACGCCGGTCGTTAATTTAACGACAATACAGTCAATCAAGTGTCCCGCGGCCGCTATAAAGGCAACGTATGTATGATAAAAAGGGAGCAACCGGGGGAAACGGGGTTGGCCCTGGTCCAGCTATGCTTATTGCTGGAATTTTTCCTGCACCCCCGACCTTTCTAGCCCAACTCCCAACGTCCTCACCCTCTCTCATACACGTTCGACCTCGTGTTTATATGTGTGCGCGCGTGTGTATGTGTATATATATGTGTGTGTGCATGTATTTTGCTTGAGAAAGTGGTCATTTTATTCCGTCCGTAAATTCCGTCTATCCGCCGCCGTTGCAACCCTCCCAGCGCAAAGAGTCGAAACTTTCCGCGTGCTTCTCGCTGGAAAGTCTTAACGTTCGACCCGAACCCTTTCCACGTATTCGTCTTCTTGCCTTCTGACTCGTACGTTCGTATTTCTTGCTTCGTCCGACTCGAATATTTGTATTTCTTAAGCTTTCGGATACGATGGCCTAGGAGGGGTAGTAGCGCCAGCGATGGTATTTGAGGGTGGGTCGAGGGTTCTAGGTTTGGGACAGGAGTGGATTGAGGCTATTTGGGACTAAAGTTTTATGACGGAATTTTTGGGGGATGGAAGGGTTGTACAAAGATGAAGTTACAAGTTTTGCTCTTCGCTAGGGAAATATAGTACACCGAAGCACATATATCGTGTTATTATGTTATTGTTCCGAACTTTCTACTTTAATTCTCCCGCAATCTTCACTACGACTCTTATCCGGTAAATAAATTCTATCAAGAAGGACAATTATACGGATAGCACGAACAATAGAACACGAGGCGATATCTTCTGCTAATGTCAAACACGAAGATAGTAATGGGATATCTAAAAAAGATAAGATTTTCAAAGAAACGTAACTTTTATCAGCTTCAAATTAGCGCGAGAAACACTTTACTCCCGCGAATTCCTATTATTCCAACCCCTTCTATCTTTACGAATCTTTTTTGCCTACGAAAGGCTTCAGCCGGAAGTTATTCTTCTTTTTCATCTCTATCCAGTGACTTCCGTTTCGTGGCGTGTGTGCATAGAGGCAGAGGGCTGGTGGTTATCGTTTGATCGATGAAAGAGTTAAGAGGTGAGGGGCGAGGATAGGAGAATAAGAGAGAAAGAGAGTAGAAGAGCGGCGCGATAAAGCCGGGTTGGAGCGGAGAATAGAAAGAAAATAGAAAACGGAAAGAGAGAAATATATAGGGAAAATGATCTATAGAACGCTGAGCAAAGTAGATCCCGATAACAAAGGACCTTGTGATAAGCCGACGGGATGAGACTGAATCCGCGGAACAGAGAAAAAAAAAGAAAGGATCTTTCGATCCATGACCGCTGGGAATTTGTTATTACTCGAATAGCCCTACTCGGTGAATTAGATTCAATTTTGGTGACCACTGTGAAATGGTACTTTTTACGTATGCATTATCACTAACGACACCAAGTCATTTATATTTCAGAGAAATTGAACGCCGATCGTGTACCAAGGTAATAAAATCAAAGGAATGACGAAATACGAGCTTAATCAGTTTGGCTTTCGAGGTGTCTTGGATCTTTCTAAATAGGGAGATTTATAGTACGTGCATACTCTTTTCATGCCCTACGATATTTTACACTGTCCTGTAGAAAATCGCGGAGGAAATTTATATCTCATAACTTGCATAGGTTTATGCTAAGGAGAATTTTAATACAACGCAAAAAGAAAAATCAAAATATGAGAGGGAGAAGGAAATATCTTTGTTAATTAACTTACAACTTTAAAGGTCGAGCTTTGATAATTGTTGGTAAAAGGAAAACATAGTTAAAATAGTAGCGAGAGAAGTGGAAAATGTTTTGAAAAACGTTGCCATCGGCCATAGTCTGACGCACTTTTGCGAAGGTATTCGAGATGCACGCTGCTGTAAAACGCGATTCCGCATAGTTGCTCGGTGTCCTCGAACGGTTTAATTTTAGTGGACGCGTAGAAAAACGATAAAAATACCGTGAAATTCTGCCGTTTCGCAAACAGCGGCTGGTAAACAAGGTCCGTGTGTAGGTGCACAAGAGGGGAAGAGGCGCACGCTGCGATGCATCGTTCCGTGACGCATCGTTTCGCGACCGATTGCTTCGCGATGCAACCTACTGAAAGGCATCGGCAAGATTGCAGCCGGCTTCGATTACTATCCGCCGAACCGTGCCGCCTCGATACGTAAGGCGTCAATCGGCCACACTTTGAATTACGAGGCAACAATTTCTGCTACTTCGTATCACAACGCGTCGGTGTAAAACGTTTCAAAATACAACAGATTGATTTATAACGTTTTCAATAGGAATGTGTTGATTTAGCATGCTTAGGACTGTACCGTAATGACTCGGAAATGTTCCTGAATGAACGCGCTACGATTTACGGAACGCCGAATTCCAGGGATTCCGATACATGGCGTTTCAAATTACCAAATTTCTAATTCGCGGTGCTCCGAATCACGCTTCCGATTCGTGGTGCCATCGAATTACAACGCGTTTCATTCGTGCCGCTTCAAGTCACAAAGTCCCCAATTACCAGTCCTCCGCAACGTAATGCTCCCAATTGATATAATCCACCAAACCACGACCTCTTAATTCGAAACGCTTTCAATCACGATATCCCAATTCTGTCTGTTTGAAATCCCAATTTATCCAATTCCTCTCTCTCTCTCTCTCTCTTTATCTCTTCCTCCTTTATTAACCCATTAATTCCCAATCAATCACACCTTCGACTCTCCCCTCTTTTCTGTTCAAACTCCGATCTCTCTCCTGAATCTGCAATTCATCACACGAAATACCCACATATGACGTTAAGATTATAAGTTAGTGGTGGAACCAGGTGACAGTGTGCATCCACTAAAAATAAGGACGAACGTAGAGGTTTTGAAACTCACTGAAGCTAGCCGCTGGCTGAGCATGATCCGCGGCCGTGGCTGCGGACGGAGGGGTGTAGCTGCTGCAGTAGTACGGCGGGTGCTCTATTTTGATCGCGTTTATTTGAGGCTGCATGTCGCTGAGGTCATGCAGTATGGACGCTGAAACCAGACACACATTAGCGGTTACGGATCCTAGCGCGTTTCGTACGTCATCCGCTTCTTCTCGTCGTTCTCTTGCTAAAGTCGTAATCTTCGTCTTAGTCGTAGTCTTTGTCGCGTTCGTCTTCTTGCGGTCTCGATTCTCGAGAAAATCGCACTTCCGCGCGTTTTCCTTCGAGAACCTTCCCCCTTCTTTTCTTATATTTTGTAAAAATTGTTTATGCAGAAGGCAATATTTTTTTCTTTCTTTTTCGATTTAAGCGATTCCGTTTGGTGTAGAGAAATTTGAACACTAAATTTTCTTCTCTTTTGAATATTAGTCATTAACCTAATATGTACGTATTAATTCTTTCACCGTTGCTTTAAATGACGCCACAATAGCTATGCTGCGCTATTTGAAAAAAAGTTGTTTCATCTGAACATTTGGATAAAATTATGTATCTATCTATTGGTTAATATGTACTGACCACATGATAGATTTTAAAACAGGAAGATACATAATGATTCATGTATCGTCATAACGATTATGAATCTTAACGATTTGCAATTTCCAGCGACCTTCACTGTGAAAGAATTAATACCTTTTTCGAGTATGTTATCTAGCAAAGTAGTAAGATTCAGTCGTATGAAAACGGACATGCCAAGATACAAGAAACGCATTGCTTAGAAATGTGTACAGATCCGTGTTAGATTTCTAGGATATCGAATGATGGAAGAAAATAATGAGCAAAGAAAATAAACCTCTATCATCGTATGATCGCACGAACTCGCTCCACGTCGACGATTTATCCAGTGTAGCTTGCCGAAAACAATCCCGTTTAATCCTTACCAAGACCCGACGACCAATCAAACGTTCCCATTGACGATTAATACCTCCAATTATCTGTCGATTCCTCCCTAAATCGTGTTGTCGAGAAGTCGAAAGGCCACGAGTCCGAGAGAGAACTATCGTCTCGTTGTTCGCGTAAACACAATCGTGTTCCAAGGAGGGACGAAGAGGGAGGCAGGGAGAGAGAGAGAGGGGGACGATGGTGGCGGTGGGATCGGTTAATTAATCGTGGTGCCGGCCATTAGAATACGCTCCAGTTACACGTTGCGCTGAATCAGCGCCACCGTAAAATAATAGGATTCCAGTTTGTCGCAGTTGGCGACGCGTAAATATAGGGATCTCCCCGTTGCTCGACGGTCAACGACCAATTAGGTTGAGCTACTGCCGTGGAATTTGCATCTTGTGTAAGCGACCTGCTCGTAAACCTGCGACCGATTTCGCGACCGGTGTCCACCGGCCCCTCGCATGCAATATCTTCTGTGTTCTTCGGTAATTCGCGCCACGCGATGAATTTCCATCTGGATATAGGCCCCGGTCTACTGGTTTTCTAGTTTGAATAGCGGAAACAGCGGGCAAGATACCATAGACATAGTTGCTTTCATGCTAACTATGAAGCTGAAATTGTGGAACTCTATTGATACTGGTAATTATTTAGGAGGAAACGGAATCTCGGGATTCTAGAGGATAATGTGGTTGTCTGATTTCTCTTCTTTTTCCTTTCTCAGTATCGAATCTTATATATATATTGCACTTCGTATTTTATTTATTTTATGGGACTGTAATCATAAGGTTTTACACTATCAGAGAAAGTTTCAACAGCCTGTGGTTTCATTTCTCCGATAAAGATAATTCGCGCGTATCTGGCAATTAGACGTTGAGACGATTTTAAAAGAAGCAAATCACCATCGTGTCCATATTGCGCTACCTCTTCATATATGTAGCCGCGATTCGAATCATCGGAATTTCGCCACTAAAACTCACCCCTTCCCCTAGGAGTGTTTCTATTATGTTCCATCTTGCACGTCGTCGACCGTCACCACCGACAGGATATTCTTCTCTATTTCACATCAGCCGAGGTAGGCTCCCACCCCCCGCGGAAATTGCGCCCCTTTTTATCCACCGTACGTGCTGCGCCTCTCACATCGGGGAGAGAGAAGAAAAATGCCTGGGAAATACTGCCCCCCTGCGGGCCTACCATTTTTTCCCGCTCGACTCGCGTACACGTACACCTGCATATATGTTTCTATGTGTGTACGTGTGTGTGCAAGTGCATTGTTGACAAAAAACCGGTGACGTATCCGAGGGTTGGAAAAAATTCGTCGAAAATCGCGCACGGCGTCGGGACACTGATTCACGGTTTTTCCTTTTTTCCCTCCGCCGTTGATTCCGGCCTTTTTCGAACGAGAGCTAGGACCGGACCAGTTGGCGAACTTTGAAAAAAATTCCTCCGCTAGGCTGGCGGCGTCAGGGGTGAGTATTGTCGGACGGTTAACTCTCCCGTGGCCTGTGTTCTCGGCTGACGCGATATTGAGATTGATGGGGAAACGATGATCGAAGGGGTAGGTTTATAGAAAGAGGGGCGAAGCTGCTCGGAGTCTTTGGGATCGCGTTAGCAAGAAACGTGGTCTATAAAGGTGCGGGAATGGGAAAAGTGGCGTGTCTTTTGTCGAGAGCTGAAGAACCTCTTCCGAGGATTTGTAGCTGAAGTTTCGCAAAGAACTAAATCTTGGTTCTTTTAAATTGGAAAATGTTTCTATTTCTTCGCGACTTATCCCCTGTGTATCTATAAAATAATACACGACGAGAAGAGTTCTGTCATAGGGTGGAATAAAACGTATGATTTAAAGAACCTAATTGGCTCTTTTTCTATCTTCGTAACTCATCTTTAAAGCGTTAGACTATTTAAGCTACCCTCTGGATGTTATGAGATTAAATGCACGATCTGGAGAATCCAAGAATACATAATTCTCTTTAAACAACCCTAAACTTCTAGCTCTTCTTCATCGAACCTAATCCAACTGAAATTAGGATCGATCGGGCTAAAACAAACGTGCTTTATCCATGATATTTCTTCGTCAGAATCCAAGAAACATTAGAAAAAAGGCGTTCGATCGAGTTGCAAAGATCGGCAGACGGGAGTTGGCTCATCCGGCGAGAGAGGATGGCAGAGGTAGAGGCGAGAGAAAGAGAGGCTGCGAGGCTCTCTCAGCAGCCTCTGAGGCCGTGAGCATTGTTCCCCGTCTATTAATACACCGGGTTGCATACTAATCTCCTGCCACGGTGACGCGAAGGGGAGCGAGGGAAAGGGAAGAGAGAGAGAGAGAGAGAGAGAGAGAGAGTGGCAAAAGGAGGAGGAGGGTGGAAGAGTGCAGATGCATACGTCGAGGCGTTTCGAGACTCGCGCCGCTTCTCAATATGCGCTCCCCTGCCCTATTATTCCATTTAGTGGCGGTGCATGCGTGTCACGCTGCTCCCTTCGGCGAGGATCCGATGAAAATGGACTCGAATGATCCACCGGTCGATTTGATCGCTTCAATTATGAACCGACGACTTCTCCTTGTCTTTTAGGGTAAATCCTCGATATTGCATGGAATCGGAAAGCAAGAATTTTGATAGAGTGTAATGTAGAGTCGGAGAGTGTTTGAAGAAGTTTGAAGGAATATAAAAGATACAAGCAACTTTAAGACTTGTTCAGCTAGCTCTTTGGAATTTCACGTTGAATTTCAACTTTTATCGTATGGAATTTGACGAATTTTTGCGACGGTCCAGGCATCGAGAGAAATTTGGCTGTGCGGTTATCGGTGACTAATAGAGAAGCAGTCGGGAGACTGGCAGCACAGTGGCTTCTGTATATGTTCGTGACGGAAATTGGCAGACAATGTCGGGCAATAACACTCGGTTTCGTCTGTTCTATCGATGGGACGCGCTCGGAGGACCGTTGACAACCTTGACCTACCAAATTACGACCTATTTGTCTATCTTACTTTTCGCTATTCTTTACAAAAGAATACGAAACTAGCTTCAACATCCTCCGCTGAGTGAATAGTACGATTCTTACGAGAAAGACAAGGGATTAGATTCTATATTTAATTTTACAAATTCTCTGAACTTGATTACAGAGGGTGGTATCGAACTGCCTAACAAGTGGCGTTCGCAACGAATACAATCCCTTCCTGATCGAGTTACACTAACAGAGCACTGTGAGCGTTCACCACGATGCACATGCAACACGTGCCAATCGTTCATCAGGTCCTTGATAGCGAAAGAGGAGTGAAGTGGTCTCAGGTATGCCGAAAGGATAACCGTCGAGTGGAATCGCGTTCCACGGCTAAGAATAACGTTTCTAACGTTAATAAATCAGCATCGATAGAACGACCAACAACGTGCTCGATCACGAAAATCAGCTTCGTGAATATTGGACGTTATCGTGGAGCGAGTTCCTTCCTACTTCATCATCGCAAGGATGCTTTCAAAAGGTTTCCTAGATATCGACTCGTTGATTACCTTTCGAAAGCATCCATAAGATTGTTTTAAGCTAAATAGAATTTTCTTTTAAACGTATCGTCTTTTTCCTTTCTTTCGTATTAAACAGATTGGAGACTTTCGATATCCCAGAGATCAGCGAATAGAGAGTCCATGCAATAGATGATGAAGAGAGGATCGTACGTCGTACCTTTTGAAAGCATCCAGAGCTCCTTGGAGCTGAAGACACCTGTCGCTAGGATCGTGTCATTGCAGACAACACCGTTATATAGTTCGTGGTAGCCTGCACCTGGGAACAGAACCCAGCCGACCATAAGACGTTACTCGTTCGTGCAATTTTGAACAACTGACGACGCATGAGAACTCGTGGAATACCAAGTGAAAAAGGTTGTTGGCATAGGATTGTAGGAAAATTTATTCGTTTACCTTTTCGCCGCCTCTCTTCCTCCTTGCTCGCGTTGCAGATGCCATTTAGGACCTCTGTAACAATCGAAGAGGATTTGCAAGTTAGTTTTATTAATTATCAAATCTTCTCGAGATCCCGCAGATTTCTATGGGTACTTTATTATGCAGTTCTTAATGTGCATTCATGTTCGATCAAATCTTTCTTCGTTCGGCTTTAAAGAGATTCTTAATGAAAAATTGTCCAAATTGTCACGTTTGCCTTCATTTCGTCAAGCGAACTATCAAAATCTACCTTCGAATTCTACGATCTCTATTTTCCTTCCATCCGCGAAAACATCCACATTTTTATCTTATCCTCCTCCTTTTTCTTTCTTCTTTCGCTAAAATCAGCCCCTTTCAGAATTTCGCCATTGTAAAGCTATTTCAGCGAGACGAATCGACCAACTTGGGATTCCCCAGACACGGATTTGGGAGGACGGTATCCTCGACGCATCCCATCTCACCTTTACTGTCACACGGTGTTTTATATCGCGGTACCTTACGCAAATCTCATTACGCAACATATCACCGAAATACACGAGAGCCCGGAACGTGTGTTCGACTTCTTGAAAGAGACAGAGACAGATAGAAAGAGTATTTGTATCTGTATGCATACGTGCGTCTGTGTAAGTGTCGTGGTAAGGAAAAGAGAAGGAGAGAGAAGAGGAAAGGATGGATTCCTTCTGCGCGGATGGAAATTCGGAAAAACGTTTCACAATCGTCGCGACATCCTCGATCAACCAGCTCGACAACGCTGAAAAACCGACGAACGACCGTTTATAAATAGACGTTAACAAACATACGTTCACTCTCAGGTTATTTTTAATTGCGTCTCAACCTTATATCGGTGTACACTGCGCCGCGATAAGCGATCTCCATTTTTGATCGTAGAATTCGTTCGAATGCCGTTTAAATTTAAATCGAACGTCAATTGTCAAACGACGAAGAAAATTGAAAACCGATGGTGAAGCAGAATTAACGTAAGCATTCAAGGTTGGACGGGAACATATTGGACCGACTAAGTATCGGATCGTGTTGTTTTCATTGCTCGCAGAATTTATCTGGTGAAACGACTGACAAGAAGACGTGTGATTTTAATGCGCGTCTATTTTGGTTTAGTTCAACAGCAAAATTCTATATCTTCCTCCAAATCGAAGAAAGCTTCTTCATCTTCTATCGTCATGTTTTCCGCGACTTCATAATTTCAAACTTTAGAACTTGTATTTGATAGAAAGATAATATCACGATCGAGTAAATTTCGAATTTTTCATTACGGATAATCAGCCGAGTTTCGAGCCGATTTAATTTTACGTCTGATCTTTGAGCCGGTTGGTTCAGGATGCACATTAATGGGGCAACGAGATCGTTTTCCCGAGAATCGATTGCGACACACCGTGGCGAACGGAGAGGATCCTCTAGGCTCTAGAGAACTAACAGCAAAATTAGTCGGCCAGTGGACCGCCCGACAGGTGCGTGTGTGCGACGCAGAAATTTTAGCAGACACCGATAGATACGCTCGCTCTTGGAACAATAATAGAGAACGGATCTGTTGACACCATGTGATCCATGAGTGCGCGAGCGAATTTCGCGGCGACGGTACGGGAACGCCTCAAGGACGGCCATTTTACAGTCTTTTCTGAGAATCTTCTCGAAAACTGTGCACCAGATAGTAAAGAAGAACGAATAAATCGTCGTAACATAATCTTCCTGAGGTTTAATCTTTGGCAGAGTAATTCATTCGATAGTCAAGACAAATAGTTCCTCGTTTTTTATTCGATTTACGGTCCTAAGAATTTGTATATCGATGTATTCGCGACTATAAATCAGCATTAATTATAATCGTGCGCATGAATAACTACAATCCCCACCTTGACCATCCATACTATAGAGGATGAGCTATCTAACCCACCTTTCCAAGAATTATTAAAAATAGACAAAATTTGTTTCTGACGTCATAATACTCAACCATCTACAACAAATGTTCTCCCTACTGAAATATCTAATTTCATCTCTCTCTTTTCGATAAAATCACCCTTCCGTGATCCAAAATATTTTCTCAAACAGACTACAACTTCTATTTCGTCTCATCAAACGGACTACAACTCTCACGGAAGATCTTTCGTTTTTGAATTTTCTTAGCGCATGTTTCATATACGTTATTCTTGTCAGAATAAGGGAATAGAAGATCGATATTAAAAGATCGATGGGACTAATTACGAGTGCGTGAATATCTCGTTTCAGGTATTCGTAGAGGTACGAACGAAAATCAAGCGCATAAGCGAGCACGGTATTCGACAGATAGAAAGAAAGAGAGAGAACTCGCTACAAGATGTCCGTCGCTTATTTATTTATAGAGCGAGCACACATCGGCACGCATGGTCACATGCTCGCGTGCACGGCGCACCGACTGTAACTTAAGGGTGAGCGTGAGACGCGCGAGCGCATGCAAGAGTACGCGTACTCGCACGCGTTTCCCTCGGAAGTGGACAAAAAGTTCGCTCGACTCACCAGGTTTATTTTGTGCTCCGTTTATTTCTTAACGCGGGGGCTGTTCTCATTGTTTGCAGAAATAATACGATGAAAGTGGCGCGAGTGGTTAAAGGAAATAAATCTGGGAAAGCAGCGGTTTGGCCCGTTGAAATCGGAAATGAAATTATGCCGAGTTAAGATGCAGAGGGTGGCATTTTCTTCTGTTCGAGATATGCCACTAATCTACTGTAGAATTCAATAATATAGGAAAGCAAGATTCTTGAAAGAAATTTTGGAAATGCTTTGTCTACTTTCACGAGGCAGATATTCCAAATATGAAGCCTTTATTGTAATTTCGGTGTGCTGTTTGACCAGATTTTAAAATATTACTCTAAAGATCCTTAAATTCCCTCATACCTGCGATTCAAGAGATACCGTTACAAAAAATTTGGAAAACGAAGAAAATATAGATGACTATATTATCATGGAAAACCTGTCTAAAGAGCGAACAGAATTAATAATGGATCCACGTGGCGAGATATGGTTGGTGGACGTATTGAAAACTCGGTGGAAGGGCACCCGGTCTATTCCGGCTGTTGCCGGATTATCAAAGTCTTACGGCCTGGCTTTTCCTGCCGACTTTTCGATGCGGCCCGTCTAAAACGGACCTCGTCTGCCGCAGAGGCATCGCGAAAATGCGACGTGTCCGAGAACGACACGCGTCGAGGCACCTGTCCTCTCTCTAACACTTTCATAAGAGACGATGATACTTACGCAACCGGCCGGGCGATATTTAGCTCTTAGGGCTAATACGCAGAGCGTCTCACCGACGATCAACCCCCTCTTTCCCTTCTTCAGGTTGAATTTCATTTCTTTTCTTTCTCTCTCTCTTCTTAGTTCGTCTTTAACAGAAGGATCGATCGATTAAAAGAAACAAGTACCCGCATTGCTGTTTAACCGTAGTCTCGATTCGCGGATTTCAATGTAGATTAATGGATTAAACAGGATCTTCGAATTTCCTTTTTCAAACGAAACACGAAAGTGGAAACGATTGTTTAAGATGAGGACGACTCCAGTTACCTCTTTTATCTAACTTCCTACAGATAAAGTATGAAGACTATTCTAAAGATATCTTTCTTCGGGCTAATCAAGATCGACCTAATTGAAAACTCTTCTTTCCCCACTTTTGCTACCCTGAAACCAGCGAAGATTCTCTTATCAACTTTACAAACTATTTTCTGCCAACGTAACCAATTAACTACCATGTCTATCATCGATAATCCACCATAAGCTCAACAACCATTTAACCGTCGTTTTTCCTTCGTTTGAAAGAAAAAGGTTCCGTCATTCGAACGGCGATGACAACGAAGATACGCGAGTGGAATTGAAATATTAGGCGTCCCTGGTCCTTCTCGTTTCGGGCTATGTACTTCCCTTCTGTAATAATACTGTCTATTAGGTCAGTCGAAACGAACGCAGCAAGTGTCTACTTTTAGCATACGTCGACGCGGCGGATAATCCGAAAGGGT